AACGACTACAGACCCGTGTTGGAGAACACATGAGGGCAGTAAGGCGAATTTACCCTTTGTCTCTGATGGCCGAACACTGCGCCGATTCCGGGCACACGTTCGAATTTCAGCATGTCGAAATTCGGGGCCGAGGAAGCGACCGCATAGCCAGGGAAACAATCGAGGCTTGGCACAAAGGGACAACCTCCATAAACCGTTGTGTGGCTCTTCCCGCTGCCTATCAAGCCCTTCGAGCGCAGCTCAGCAAAAAAATGAGCAGACATGCATCCAGGCTAAACATGAATCCAAACATGAGCGAGTCCATGGCGGATGCACACTCAGTCACCCCTCAACCTGGTTCCGATGAAGGCGCAGTCGTCACCACAGTCGTTCCATCTACTAGTCCGACGGACGATAAAACGGACAGTCGTTGCGGCGTAAACAAGATTGCCAGCCTTGGACGACGGTTAAGGTCAATGGATGTACTGACGACGACCACCAACGTCTCAACGCCGGCCCCCGATGTAGATTGAGTACTTCCCGTCAACCTCCCTCCCCCCCCGTCCGCCACAGTCCCTGTGGGCAGGCGCTGGTGACGACTAAAGCTGACCCGCCGCTCCCCCCCTTCATCCGGCGAGAAGACGCTCTAGGACTCCCTCCCCGCCACTTCCACCCTACCGCCCTGACTTCGTTTGTAAGAAAATAATCCCGTCTTGACATGACTGGCACCCACCTATAAATACTGTGAGGCGGAATAACACACTCACCTCCGACGATGGAAGCTTGTATGCTTTTGAAACGTCAGGACAGTAAAACTATGGTTCCTGAGATCGCCTTTTCTTCTGATTTATGTCCAGGGACGCGCCTCTTTGCTTCTATTAGCTATATATATATGGGATGATACCGACCAAGACAAGGGAGACCCAAATGGCCATTTCTGGCTTGTTAGCCGTCATTAGCCAGTCATATCCAACCCCAAGTGTGGACCACTTGAGATTCGAACCCGGGCTATTCGGTCATGAAGTTTGACGCTCTACCATTGAACCACGGGCCCGTTGTCCCGTCGGTTGTAATCGGGAATACCAATTATGACAGATGGGGGCTCACCTATCAGGTTACAGAACATGCTTGTTCTCTTGTGCCTTGGGGCTCATACTTACACCCTCGCAGGTAGCCGCACAGCAACTAGTAGTAGACGTAGATGAGATGATACCGATCCACACTTGGGGTTGGGTAGGACTGGCTGATGATGCCTAATAAGCCAAAAATGGCCATTCAGGTCTCCCTTGTCTTGGTCGGTATCCTCTCATCTATGTCTACTACAAGTCGCTGTGCGACTGCTTGCGAGGGTTTAAGCATGAGCCCCAAGGTACAAGAGAACAAGCATATTCTGAAAGCTGATCGGCGAGCGCCCAAATGTCATGATATATATATATATGGATATAAGCGAAAATGCTGACCCCAGGTGTAGAAATGGAAGAAGAAAAACGCCTTATCTTCTCGTTCCATATATATATATATATATATCGATATGGGTAAAGATTCGAGGTGCAGATATTTTAACGCGTTCATCATCCCCCCAAGAAGACGAAGAAGAAGGTAGGACGATTTCATGGACCGAGTTTAATTTGTACTGACTTTTCGGAAACCCTCTCATTTCCATCATCGGTGTAATGTGTTGATCGTTCCTGCTGGTCTTGATTGCTTCAGCCTGGATGCCCGCCTGGTATTATATCCGTGCTCGAGGCACGAACTCTGACCTGCCCTTTCGCCGCTGATTTGCGTTGACCTCTCCACGATTGACCGCAGGTGGGCTTCTGCCACTAATGACCCCTTTGCGGCCGTCATAATTTTTGTCGAGCCAGCATGCATGTCGGCCTCCCCCTCGTCACCCAGCGGACTTATCAGTTGTTGGGGCTCATGTGAGTTGATCTCAGCCTCGTGGGCGTCGCGGTGAGATGGTGTCCCATGTTGGGCACATGACCCCCGGCCGGCTTCTCTTCTTCTTTCAGCTGACATCGGCTGTCGGCCACGCGTCACTTTTCTCGACTGTCCTGATGGCCTTGTCCGCACTGACTCGAGCCTAGTGCGTAGCGCCTGGTAGGCAGGATGCAGATCTATGGCTCTGTTAAGTGTGCCAGTCGAGGACCAACTCTCGATCATCAGCCTGGCCATCTTATCATTGGCTCGGCCGATTACCCTTGCCTTTTCAAAGACGCAGCTGTGGTTCTGCTGTTTGACGTGGCCAAAAACCATAGGCAGCTTGTCCTTGCGGTTGATTGCGAGCTGGTGCTCATGCAATCTTGTGCCAAGACGTTTGCCCCTTTCACCAGCATACCTTGCATCACAGTTTTGGCATGGTATGCTGTAGACCACCGCTGATTATTCTGTCATCGGTAGCGGGTCTTTGGGCCTCATTATTTGCTGTCTGATTGTTGACTCTGGCTTATAAACTACTCCGATCCCAAAAGGTTTCAGGATTCTTGCAGTCGCCTCTGACACGCTTTTCACATAAGTGATTGCGAGTCAAAATTTCGGGTTTTCTCCGTCCAACCACTCAGAGCAGGACTTCTTAAGACACTGGGGTATGAAGGACTTGGGAAAACCGTTGGCTTTAAATAAAGCGTGCAAGTACTTAATCTCCTCCTTTCTCCCATTGTCGTCGCTGCAGTGTGTTTGAACGATTTGGAAGAGGGTCCTAAAAAAACTGCGCTTGTGGCCAACAGGGTGGGTGCTCTTGAAGTGGAGGATTCGCCTGGTGTTAGCTGCCTTACGGTAGACCGTTGTTCTTATCTTTCCGTCCTCCAGCTTCGTCACTTTTACGCAATGGAAGGCCATATTAAACTGGATGTCGGAAAAGATTGATTTCAACAGTGCCTTGAAAGCCTGCACATCGCTCCTTTTGATGATAATGAAAGTGTCATCAACGTATCTGGCCGACAGCCGATGTCAGCTGAAAGTAGGAGAGAAGCCGGCCGGGGGTTATGTGCCCAACATGGGACACCATCTCACCGCGACGCCCACGAGGCTGAGATCAACTCACATGAGCCCCAACAACTGATAAGTCCGCTGGGTGACGAGGGGGAGGCCGACATGCATGCTGGCTCGACAAAAATTATGACGGCCGCAAAGGGGTCATTAGTGGCAGAAGCCCACCTGCGGTCAATCGTGGAGAGGTCAACGCAAATCAGCGGCGAAAGGGCAGGTCAGAGTTCGTGCCTCGAGCACGGATATAATACCAGGCGGGCATCCAGGCTGAAGCAATCAAGACCAGCAGGAACGATCAACACATTACACCGATGATGGAAATGAGAGGGTTTCCGAAAAGTCAGTACAAATTAAACTCGGTCCATGAAATCGTCCTACCTTCTTCTTTGTCTTCTTCGGGGGAGGATGATCGAGATTTATATGTAAAGGCAGAATGATATAACAGACAAAGACAAGGGAGCCTGGAATGGCCATTTCTGGCTTATAAGCCGTCGTCAGCCAGCCATACCCAAGCCTGAAATGTGGAAAACCAGAGCCTCGAATTTGCGACCTGTTAGTTTAGAAGAGTTGGGGCATTGACTTATAAACCAACAGGTCGCGAGGTCAAGGATCGGGTGTTCCAAACTTCGGGCTTGGGTATGGGTGGCTGACGCGGCTAATAAGCCAGAAATGGCCATTCCAGCCTCCCTTGTCTTTGTCGAGTATATCATTCTGCCTATATATCATGCGCCGCTGTGTGGCAGCTGGTTGGGATCGAGAGAGAGCCCTTAAGGCACAACGGAACGAGAGAGTTCCGTATGAACGATCGGTGAGCGCCCCCTAACATATATATATATATATATATATATATATATATATATATATAACATCATGAGTAAAGATTCGAAGTGCTGATAAATTATCCCGTTCATCATCCCCAAAAGAAGACGAAGAAGAAAAAGGGGCGATTGCATGCACCATAGTGTATTGGTGCTGACGTTTCGGAAACTTTCTCGTTTCCATCATCAGAGTTATGGGGTGTCTGTTCCTGCTTGCTCGAAGTTGTTCTGCCTCGCCGCCTGTCTGTTGTTATAGGCATGCCTGACGCGCGAACTCTGACCTGCCTTCTGGCTGGGGATTGGCTTTGGTCCCTCCACGGGCGGCCAATGGCGCGC